TTTGGTTTTTACTAGCATGTTAATGCTAGAGAATATTTTTTCGATAAGAGATGGCTTGAAAAACGGAATGTAGATAGAGTAAGTAATTTAGCCAAACCCTTTAAATTTTTTTAAATCAAGCCCATTTCAGTGGGCATCATACGTTTTGTGTCTCAGCAATCAACTTTTATCAGTAAAGTGGTATTTGTTAATGATTTTTCCATTCGAAAGTTATTGGTTGACAAAAGATAATAATTTTCTTATTAAGTTTTTAAAATCAATAATGGCATATGCTCGTAAAACAGCTTAGTGTTCCATAAGGCAACAATATACTAAACAAGTATTTGATTAAAGCAATATTGAATTTACAAAGTACAACAATAAAGTAAAAAGGTATATCAATATCAAAGTACAAATTGTCAGCTAAAAGGTGTTTACAACAAAACTATTTAAAACCTATTGCACTTAGCAAGTTCTATAACAGCTGTAAGGTAGGTTTTATGGCTGCTGTAAGGTGTGCCTTAGGAGTAATACAATAAAGCAATGTTGCTTTGTGGCTGACACACAAATTGCTCCTAACGACAGCAATAGGATTCTCCTTTTTAGCCCTATGATGGTTTTATCGGCTGTATAGCTGTATAGCAAATAGGTTTTAACTAAGCAATGCAAATAACCTTTAAGAGTAGTTTCATGGAGCCCTATTTTGCTACGGGTATATTATATAAAAAATGTTTATATATTTGTATAGTTACTTTTATTCTCTGCTAAATTTCACTAATATAATTTGACTAATTTTCTATTACTAGAATAGATTTAATCACCACTAGGCAAATAAAATATAAATTAAAATGAATGTTGTAAATTTTTAACCAATGTGTCATCGATAATTATATCGTATTAATTTTAGTTTAAATGTTTTTTATTTATGGTTGCCTATTAATACGTTAGCCCATATTTAATAAATGTCTTCTAAAGGGTGTCCAATTAGGTACGCTCGATGTTTGATAGGCGGCTATGGCAAAGTCTGTAAAGACACAGCTGTGAAATATTTTGAAGTTTTGTTGTCATATTATGACATTTGATAATGAAGCGTTAGACGGTTGCTCAACGCATTCAAATTATTCCAATTTACCAACAAAATCAATGTTTAATTTGCCAAACGTTTCAACGGCGTCATTTCACGCGGCGGCGATATCCAGTGGCCAACGAGATCATGCGATCTAACGCCGCTAGACTTTTTTGTGGGGCTACGTAAAGTCCCTTGTGTACGTGAATAAGCCACGAACAATTGAAGCACTTAAGGCCAACATTACTCGTATAATAAATGAAATCAAACCCGAAATGTGCGAAAAGTGATAGAAAATTTGACCTGCAGAATGCGCGCTGTGGAGCGCAGCCGCGGGGGGCATTTGAAAGATGTTATTTTTCATAATTAATGCCACAGGATGTTCTTTTAAATAAATATATTTTTTTCCTAATATCTTAAGTGTAGTTTGTTTTATTTCATTTTAAAGTTAGAGCACTCTTAAGTGGACACCCTTTATATTTAATGAAGATCATCATTTCAGCGTTTTATAATTATGTTGCGTTAAATTTAAAATATAATGTTAAATATTATTGTAGTAATAGTGATTCCGAAAAAAATAAACTTAAATCAAAGTAAACAATCCAAAGTCGGTTTCATATAGATGCGGAATGCGAATTCGCATTTCGCAACTTCTATTTCATATAAACTGCGCACCACTCAATGTGTCGCGACCAAAAAGTTCGTCCTTTTTCAAAACGACATAACTTTTTTCAGAGGTGCCGCGAGACACGAGACACGAGACGTCTCGTCTCGTCTCGTCTCGTCTCGAAGCCATTTTGTCTCGTCTCGAGAGCATTTTGTCTCGAATTTCGAGACGAGACGAGACGAGATAACATCCTTCGAGACAAGGCGAGACGAGACGAGACGAGACATATTCGAGACATATTCGAAATATTTTAATGACTTAATACGCTTTAAACGAATGATAATAACAGCATTTAAGTTTTAATAATTGTTTTTAACTTCAGAATTAGCAAAAACAGCATTATATGGTATGAGTTGGTAATACGTGCATATAAATTGTTAAAATAACACTTGTAATAAAATATAAAACCTTTATTCAAAAACTGCATGGTGTTTTCAAGGACATACATACATACCTTTTAGAGAATAAACAGTAAAAAAGAAACCAAATAAATGTATTTTATAATAAACAAAATAAACCAATAAACTCTAAACTGAAAATAAATATTAAATATATCATTAACATTGTTAGTACGAATATCACATTACATGGAAATAGGTAACTAAAAAAAATCCTAAATCATTAAAAAATATTTAGGTATTACTGCATGGGGTAAGTATAGAAATAGGTAAGTTTCATCAATCAAAGTTTAGCTTATCTTTTAACGTACCTACAAGTGTACCATGAATTAAGACATAATAATGAACGAGCCGACTCAGCATTAGGTCGATTCCGAAGTTCAATGACTACTAATCCAGGTTTTGAAAAAAGGCGTTCTGAAGGAACGCTTGTTGCGGTAATACTTAATAGGTCTCTTGCCATCTTTGAAATGTGTGGATAATTTAGGTACTTCATTTCTTTTCCACCATTCTATCAATATATCCCCTTTTGATGCTCTCTCTGCATAAAAGTATGCGTTTAGTTCTTGTTTCCAAAACTCTTCAGTTTCGGATTGAGGAGTAGCCTTTTTGAATAAAAATTCAATATCCATGTCTTCATCTGAGCCAGATTGTTCTTCAGTTTCTTGTATAGGTGGAATTGGCCTAGTCGGTGCGTATTTTTCACAATAAATTGTTTCAAATTTTTGGTATGATTTATTTTTCATTTCTGCACCACAGAAAGTCATTGAAAAGGTGTGACGTGGATCTATTAAGAGTGAGGCGAATAACTGCGTTATCAATGATAACTTATCATTTTAGTTTATCCCACTTTTAAGAGTTTATATCTTTTTTGTTTTTTGAGTAAGACATTTTTTATTGAATTTATCCGATAATTCAAAATTAAATTGAGATAAACCAAAAAACTAAAACAATTCGAGACAAACGAGACAAAACGAGACGAGACGAGATAAGGCCTTGTCTCGTCTCGTCTCGAACTTGTCTCGTCTCGTCTCGAAAAATGTTATCTCGAAATTTCGAGACGAGACGAGACAAGGCCTTATCTCGTCTCGTCTCGTCTCGCGGTAACTCTACTTTTTTGTTTCTTGAACGATTTTATTTTGGTCTGTGATGTCTACTAACCCCATCCTCTGGCAATTCATGCTATAGATATTAAGCCCACGGTTCTTCAAGTAAATTTCCTACATGTCTTACCTTGAAAAAAATTTCGAATTGGAATCTTAGCAACAAAAATATGATTTTTTTCCAAAAGAGTACATTTAAGGCTTTTTGGTAGGCAATACACTTAAGTCTACTACGAAATAAACATAAATGGCTTATGTATTATAAGCAATTGCATTAATGTGCATGCAAAATGGATGCGCATCACGCCAAATTAGTGCGATTTTCGCAAAATATTAGATCAAACTCAAGATTTCCGCCCCCTAGATTCAAATCTTGCGAATTAGAAGGATCTGTCGAAACTTTGAAACGGTTTTCCCGCCAAATAAAATGGACCAATGGGAGCATTTTTCGTATTTCGCATCTATATGAAATGGCTTAAGTAAAACGAAAAATCGATATTCTAGATTTAAATGAAATGATTTGGTGGTAAGAATGATTGAGATGGTGACGCGTGAACGTAGATTCATGATACACTTATGGACATGACGTAGATGCACATACTTTCACACATTTGTATATGTTTCCATTTCGTAGGGTTAAAGTAGGGACAGTGAGAATCACACGGGAGCAGGCATTGTCGGTTTGAAAAAAATACCATATTTTTGTAGTATAATAAACATATACCCATAACTCCTATCAGGGCCGGCTCCAGGGTACGTGCAGCCGTGCCCCTGCACGGGGCGGCAAAAATCGAAGGGCGGCAAAAATGAAAGAGCTGCAGAAATCTAATAGAGGCAAAATTCGAAGGGTGCACCCTGTCGATTTTTGCCATGGCAAAAATCGACAGGCGGCAAAAAGATATTCAATACAACACGATATAGGCTCTAAATTAGATATTTACAATTTAATTTCAACGTTTCCTGATCAAAAAGCCAGAAGGCATTCCTTTTGTTTGTAAACAGATTTTTATTATTTTTACTAATAGTCAGTTTAATAATGTTAGATAAAATAATTATTATTAGAATATATATTTTTTTTTAGGATGCTATGATATTTTATTTATTTGTTATTAAATAATAATTTTTTAAACTTTTTTGTTAATTTTATCTTCCCATTAATGCTGGATAACTCGAAATTTTACTAAATACTTACATACCAATTTTAGAATATTTTATTTATAAATGTGTTTTTCCAGATATCTAGTTGTAGCATCAAGGGGTCGATATTATTTAGAAATTATACCTAATTAATGGGCACAAAAAGTAGGTAACTATGAGGGACGGCAAAAATATTTTTCACGGGGTACCAAAATGTCTGGAGCCGGGCCTGACTCCTATACGTAGATATAAAAAACGTATTGTTTATACCGGGCGTATAAACAATTATAATTATAATTATATCAAATCTTTTCATCAATTTTCATAAATTTTCAAGAAATTTTAATTTCTTATAATAATATTATAATTTAATAATTAATTATTAAAAAATCTCAAAGATCTCCAAACATAAAAAGTTATTATTACTGTATAGTTTTTATTTAGATATTATGTACAGTAACTACATAAGAATATGAATAAGTATAAGAAAGGTATAAGAAAGAAGGCCCATGATATTTTTGCTTTTGACTTTTTTTAACCCCACATAAATAACCATACAAAATTAAATACATTTCTAAATAAACCTTTTATTATTTTTTAATAAAAAAATTCATATGATCTGTAACAAATATACAATTTTATTGTTTTAGACTTGGACGTACAACTTAATAGGTTAATAAGAGAAGGCCATTTTAATATGTTTGATACTTGCCAACCACATTAAAAGAAAAATGGAAATAATGAATTGTTTAATTTTTTTGACATTTCTTACACGTAAGTACCTTTATAGTTTTAAACCTATTTTTTAATACAGGGTGATTAAAAAGTATTTTAATCAAATTAAAAAGTAGGTAAAGTAAAATTAATGGTTTACCTAGGTGTAAAACATTAAAACCTTAAATAATATTAATATTACGTTGGATTTGCGTAGTCAAAATAGATTTTGATATTAATTATTTTTTATTATTTATTAGTTTGTAGGGCCCAAACCAAAATATTGGAAAAGAGGAGCTATGTTTGTCCTCCTTATTTCATGAGACTCAGTCATAGATGCTACTATTTTAGCAAAATTAAGGCGACATGGAATGATGCTTACTATAATTGCAAAGATTTGCATGGCAACCTGGCTATTATAAAAAATAAATATCAAAGCAAGCTGATTACTAAAACATTAAACGGTTCTTCTGGTAAGTGCGTCATATCATAAATAAGAAATTAATTATTTCTACTCCTATTGCATATTATTGATATTTTTTGTTTTTTTTTCGTAAATAATATTAACCAATATGACCCCCTAAAAGAGGTAATAATGCGTTGTATTTTTTATACTTTTCCGTTACTGTGACGCCCTCTATTATCTAATACATTTATCAACAAAAGTAAAGAATATTTTAAATTATTTAATCAAAATCTGTATTCTTTTGCTTCTAATCCCTTTGATTATAAATAGGCACTTGGGTTTTATATAAGGTGACCAACTGTTCTGATTTAATCAGAACTATACTGTTTTTGAGATCTTCATTCTGACTGGAAATCGAAGGTAGTAAAGGTTCTGATTTTCCTATTTTGGTTCTGGTCTGTTCTGATTTAGCTTACCATATAAAATAAACTTCCAATTTTTATAAATCCATATTAATTTATTAGGTACCTATACTTAATATGTAAAAATAACTAGGCTAAAAACACAAATTTCATAATAGTTAATTTATAAATATATATATGGGGAATTCCACGCCAAATCGACCACTTTTGACCCAACTTCTTACGATTTGACTGAACTTTTTAAATTTTTTTCTACCCCACTAAAAAAGTTTCTCAGAATTTTTCCAATATATTTACCCAACCAAAAAAAAGTTACGAATTTTCAAAAAAGTTGCCAATTTTCTTTTAAAATACACATAACTTTGTCAAAATTTGACTAAATGGGGCGTTTTTTTGGTTTTGAATTCAGAAAAAATACAAAAAAATTTGGGAAAAAAGACATTTTTTTGAAAATTTTTTAACATGTTTTTAGTCGGGTGAAATAAACTAAAACATTCTAAGAAAAATTATTAGTGGGGTGAATAACCATTATGAAATTTATGTTTTTTTAACTCAACTGAGAGTAAATAATAATAACTTAACACAGGTAGTTGCACAAAAAACAGGCAAAAATAGGGCAACACCTTTTTTCTAAAAAAAATTTCGTACAGGCCACCGCTGTTCTGGTTTTCCCCTTTACACAGTTGGTCACCTTAGTTTTATACTATATCGTAATTTAATAGTTCCAGATTATAAATATTTAATTAATTAATTTAAGTATACAACCCAAGTGTATGCATAATATGATTATTATCATAATTCGTTCTTCAATTTTTGACTTTTTTCTATTCCTATTTTGAATATTGGTAATCTGTAATTCTGCTTTATTATTGTTTTTTTATGAAAATTCTTTAAATATTTTGTATCAATCAAAAAATAAATTAATTAAGTGTCACATTTCTTACTTTGGAATCTCTAGAATACTCGAAAAATATAGGTGGTACATCTACTAACTTTTCAAAGTAATATTTGTTGGAAACTACCAACTTTTAAAATTAAATCTACCTCCTAGACCGATTTTGAGTTAGCAACACTGCCGCCCGGCCTAACAACGGGAATATTGAACTTATTATTCACGTTCTTAGGCATCAGTGATTGGCTGATTTTAATATTTACTGTTATTTGAACCAATCGGGTTTTAAATTGGGAAAAAGTAAGGTTAACATATTATGTCAGATTTGTTTATATATATGGGCGACTATAATGATCTTTAAAATCGGTAAAAAGTGAGGTTATAATAAATTTGGTTATCAATGAAAATTACTTAATTGGAGTAGAAAAAGCATAGTGTTACACTCGAAATAATGCGCATTATTTACTCGGATGCGTTACGTTTCTCGCCTAACGGCTCGAGATGCAAACCTCATCCTTGTGAATAATAGCCTGCATTATCTCTCGTATAATAATATACTATTACTTTATAAAGGACTGTCTGACCATACTGCTCAAAAGGTAGTATTTGATAAAAGTAGAGAAAAACCACTTAAAGTTTCAAATAAAAATATAAAAACCTTTATCAGTGCATTGAGTAATGAAAGTTGGAACGATGTTTTTAATACAGAGATCAATGTAAATACAAATTTTGACTGCTTTATGAACGTTTTAATTTTTCATTTTAATACATCGCACATCCGGAGGAAAACTGTCACAACTCAAAAAAATGTAAAAACCGGGTTTTCATGCAGAACAGTTTAAAAAAGGATGCTTTACTTAGTAGAAAAGTGTTACATCTTAGTTTTTAATGAAAAAGAGATGGCACTTGGGTCACTTTGGTTTTGGGGTAAACACATATGGCCCATAAAACTAAACTGACACTTCTCAGTAATATTTTAGCTCTTGAGTATGACGGCTTACTTTTTCTCTAGAAAAACGACACATTTTAAAATATTTCGATAGTTGATTTTTTATTTACGGGAGTAAATCGTCATATTTTTAGTTGTGCATTGTTTTTGTTCGATATTTTATATTAAAACGGTCAAATTTCGACTTGTGCCATTTTTCTTATATAAGGTAAGTAATAAATATCTTAATAACTTTTTCACTATACCGTCATATTTTAATTTATGTCACTTTTTAAAAATGATCCAAAGATAAAATATGGAGTATTTCGAGATGTGTCACTTTTCTTCTACACATAGCAATTGAATTGCTTTAATATTAGTCGGCGATTTTTAAATGTGTCATCTTTCTTGGTAAAACAGTCTTAACCTAATGTTAAGTGTATTTTACCATAGAAAAATAATATAATTATATTATTTTTCTATGGTAAAATACACTTAACATTAGGTTAAGACTGTTTTACCAAGAAAGATGACACATTTAAAAATCGCCGACTAATAAGAAGGGCGACCTCCACGTTGACCTTACACTCAACTTGAGGCAGGGCTGCATTAGGGAAATGTTTGAATAGCTTTACCAGGACCGTACTACAACATTTTATTTTTTTAAGATTAAATTATAAAGAGGGGCCATTTTTGGAACAATAAATGGAAATATGGTATATAAAAATAATGGGAGGAAAAACTATATCGGATCTACATAGAGATTATGTAGAGGAATGTAAGGATAAGAAAGTGCACTCTGCAAATTATAACATGTACGCAAAAATCTTTAATGAAGAATTTAACTTATCGTTCTTCGTACCAAAGAAGGACCAGTGCGACTTTTGCGTGAGCAACTAGACACGAATAAAAAGACTCTCGTTTAGAAGAATATGAGAGTCATCGCAAAGAAAAAGAACTTTCGCAGAAAGAAATAGATAAGAACTCAGACAAATTCGTAGCAGTGTATGACCTTCAAGAAACACTCCCATGTCCTAAAGGATATACGTCTAACTTTTATTACGTTTCTAAACTTAATGTATTTAATTTTACAATATTTAACTTAAAGGCAAAAGACCTGGAATGTTTTGTTTGGCATGAGGGTCAGGCACAGAGGGGTGCTAATGAAATTGGTACTTGTGTCTTCAAATATTAGGAAAAAATTAACAGTCAAGTTGAATCAGAAAACACCAATATTGATGTCGTATTTTATTCAAACAACTGTGGGGGTCAACAAAAAATCGATTTTTATTCACAATGTATCTTTATTCAGTAACTACACTAAAAAATGTTAAAAGTATAACACACAAATATCTAATTTCAGGACACAGTCAAAATGAAGGCGACTCTGTCCATTCAGTTATAGAAAGGCAAACAAAAAAAAGTCTGAAGTCAGGACCTATTTATATCCCCGAACAATGTTTTACTCTGATACGAAGCGCAAAAAAACGGGTACCCCTTATAAAATTAATGAAATTTCTTACTCTGACATATTTGACTTTAAAACTTTAGGCTCAGATATGGTTTTAAAAATTTTTAACAGAAATATCGATGAAGAAACTTTCAAAATTTCAAATTTAAAGATTTTTATGGTGACTAAAGAGAACTTAGATACAATTTATTACAAGAACTCTCATGCTGATGAACACTTTAAGTCAATAGAATCTTCAAGGAAAAGAAGTAGGTCTGAAATCGAAAGACCTTTATTCTTAAGAAAAGCATATACACGAAAACCTGGATTATCAGAAAAAAAGAAAAACTCGTTATTATCTCTATTTAAAAATACCAAAAAAACTACAATCCGGGCTACAATCCCAAAATCATACTTTGACTATTATAAAAATTTATAAGATACCTACTTATTAAGTTTTTTGCTATTTTTTGTTTAGGATTTATTCTAGTTTTTACAACAGTTAATATTTTTGCCAAAATATATACCTAATCAAAAAATGAGTATTTTATTTTTTTAATAAAAAGTGCAAATGCCATTTAAATTACATTTTATTTTATAGCGTATCCTTGGAACTAAGTAAAAATTATTTAACAACACCCAACGTTTTATAAATGAAAAGTGACATATCTGTGATTTATTTCAAAAAAGTTATAATTCTAGACTCAAAAATAAAAAAAAATCAAACGCTATGCAATTGTTGTATGGGGAAATTCATCACAAGCCGACATAATATTCACTATCCAAAAAAGAGCAATTCGCTGCATGTATAATTTACACTCATGTAGGAAAACTTACATAAATAAAAGAATACTAACATTCCCATATCTATATATAATGTAAACTTTAAAATTTGTTAAACAAGGCACGGTAATACTCTATATTACCCTAAGAACCACTTAACTTTATTTAAAAAAATCCCTTTTACGTCGGAGCTACCTTTTATAACAATTTACCAAATTTGCCTTTGCAGAATTTTTTGAAAAAAATGAAGCTCATCCTGACATTAGAGGCTTTCTTCTCGATAGATGAATATAAATATGTAATTTTAATAAATATATCTAAACTTTAATTAATTTATAAAATATTTACTTATGTAGGGGAGACCCGGGCAGCGAGGTCCACCGGGGTAATAAGGACCACCGGTCTACCGCACGGTACGTTTTAATTTGGCGCAAAATTTCACGTTAGTAGATTGCCAAACCTTCATGTCAGTGCTGTGTTAATGGCGTCCGACCATAAGCAGCTGTTTGAAAGTGCTACAAAGAAATCAAAATTTCATGGTATGTTGATCTAACTTTTTCATGGCAATATTGTCCATTCCTGAGAAACAACTGGGGAATTAAAAAAAAACTCAGTCTATAATAGTGATCCATATTAAATGTGCTTCAAACCTTACCTATTGGTTTACCAATGCTATTGCATGGAAAAATGTTACGAGGTGATTTCCTGCCTAGCGACATTTGAGGTAATGAGGACCACTTAATTTGGGGCAAGCAGGACCTTGGATGATTTATGTATTTATTGTGAAACTCCGTACAAAGAGAGTAAAGTTGGAGGAGACTGGGCCCAGTTCACAAGTTGTGAGCAATGGGCCCACGAAGAATGTGCGGGGGTAGAAGAAGATGACTTTTTCATTTGCGAGCTGTGAAAATAATTTTTAAATTTTCAATTTGCAGGGCGCAACAGAATTTGCTTTTTTGTTTTTATTTAATTAATTTATTTCACAAATTCGTTAAAAACTATCAAGAGGTATTATTATTAATGTGTGCAGGTCTTTCAAATGGTGGACCTTCTTACCCGGGGCAAGGAGGACCAATGTAGTAAAATTGTTTTTTTATCTTTACCAAAAAATGTTACAACATTTTTTTCGGTTTTGTACTAAATTAGTTAGACCATATTATATAGATTTTCGAAAAAATTGCTTGTCCATTTCCATTAAAAAAAATCCTTAAGCGGTCCTCGCTGCCCCGGTCTTCCATATCGTTTTTGTATACAGAATGTTTGTATGTATTATCTTTGGACTAATAAAGAATTATTATTTTTATTATTATATTTTTAATTCAAAATTCAAATTTAACAGTATATTCTGTAAGTTTAGAATATGGCATATTACGCTCGAGTGAAAAGTTTGTCACACGAGAAGGCGAGTTTGGCGGTTTTACGAGAGCGGAATATGCAATTCCAAACGAGTTTCAGACTATACTTTTTCTACGTTTCCAAAAAATACCATAGACAAATAATTTAATTGGAAGAAAGTGAGGTTGCATCGGTCTAAAATTTGTTAGATATTAAAAACAGAGATGTCGCCACGAGTTTTTATTCTGTCATCCGATTATAGAATATTTCATTCTGTAACACTTTACGGAATATATGTCATTCCCCTAGATCAAATCAATAGATAAATAGGTATCTGATGTCGGATGTCGGGACAGTATTATAATATTTAGCCAAGCCAAGAGAGGGCGCAGATTTTTTAATTTTTTGAGGTTTTTGACCTTTTTGACGTTCAATTATATCCGTAGTTATCGCATTTTTGTAAGATTTTGTGTGTTTTTATTGTGTATTGTTTCTAAGGGTTGTATTATAATAATAATAATTTATAAACGACACTTTGACCGAATCATAATCTTTTAGATGGTAGGCATGTATTGTTTAATAAAATTTATGGATTTAACAGTATTCTTTAGTTTCAAAATAATGATTAATGAGACAGTTACTTTTAGTAGACTATCATAAATAACAAAAACAATGTTTCTTACCATATATGAATGGTACTTTTGAAAATAAGTATGATAATGATTCAACGAGTTTTACAAATAAAAAAATCACAGATTTTACAAATGAATACTAAATACACTTGTTTTACATTTACATACATAATAAGTATGATAATGATTCAACGAGTTTAACAAATTAAAAAAATCACAGATTTTACAAATGAATACTAAATACACTTGTTTTACATTTACATACATTTGTTTTCCTCATTGCTTTTCCATAAATCTGCGAATTTCTTTAGTTTATAAAAGTTGCTTGAGAATTACTAAACAGCATAACCATAGAAGTACCTTAAATACATGGTAGAAAACAAAGTTATTGTTTTCGTTTCTAAATACATTTAAAATCTAGCCACAAGTTAGATTTTAAATATAGCACCATTGAAGTAACCAATCAAATACGTTGATTTTCCACCAATTAAAAGCTATGTTGGCAACAGTTGCCTGTAAACAGGTAATTTAATTTTTAGCCAAGTTCATAGAGGGCGCTTCATTTGGCTCCAAACTATATACTCTTTAAGATAGTCATCCATTGGTTTGGTTTAGGGTCATTCCATAGATAAAAGTGATATAAGAACGGTCAAATTCCGTAATAGGAGTAGAAAAAGTATTTTATGTAGACATAATTTTTAGAATGTATAGGTACTATAGGGTGTTTTACCCTTTTACTTTTTTGTTTACCTGCTAAGACATTAAGTATCAGCAGGGGAATGTGGTAAGTTGCATTCGTTTATATTAAATTGCCCCAGAAATAACGTCTATTGTAAATTATGACAAAAATAACAAAACACCCTTTATTTTCGAGACCGATTTTTCTTCTCTTCTTAATATCGAATCTTTCATCTGCCATTTACGTATGGTACATATTTTTTAAAACAAATAAAATGTATATAAAATTATCATGTTTAAGTTAAAATAAATGATATTTAGATAGGTAATTCTGTTAAATATAGTTCATAATGTATAATTTTTTTTTAGAAATGCTAGACAGATGGCTGGGAGCTAAATACGATTGGAGACAAAAGACTTGGATATGGGCAGCATCTGGAAAATCATTAGCTTTTGAAAATTTTTATAATTCCACCATTAAAGTTAAAGAAGAAAATCTTGATTGGCATTGTATTTTTGCTGATCCTGATTATGGATACAGGTAAAAAATATAAGGCCAGTCGGGTTTTAAGGCCTAAAGTAAAAAAAAAGTTCTTAAAATATGCTCGCTTACCCAAAATTTACATACATGAATTAAGTTAAAATAAAAGGGCTGCTTCAGGGGTGATTTGCAGATTTAATGTTCAATTCTTCAATGGGAATATTCGTTGTAATCTTTTTAGTTTGTTCTTTTTTAATTTTTGAAAGTGATGCAAATTGGTTGGTCTAAAATCTTCCATTGGGATCGCCTCGTTCTTAACTTCTACAACGCAAAATGGTAAACCGTTTTTCTGCATTTCTTTTTATAAAAAATTTCCAAAGAAGAAAAGTGGCTGTAACAGATCGGAATACATAAGATGGAATGGTCAATGCAATATATGTTTGTTTCTTCAAGGTTTTATTGTATATCTTTAATTTGAATATGGGCTTCTTTTAGATTGTCCAGATCAATATGTTGTTTAAGGGATGGTAGTTTATCAAATTGTTTTTCCATTAACATTGATTTGTCTGTTGATATAATGGGTACTTCTATGACTTCTGCATGGTGATTAGTATTTTCTTGTCCCACTATTAATATTAATGTTTTGTATTCGGGCTTGACATTTGAGGAGGTGCATTCCTAAACTCGGCTTATCCATATTAGTTGTTTTCGAGCAAAATGTCAAAAACCTTACATATGAGTACTAACGCATATCAGGCAAAAAAATACTTTAAACGAAATATAAAGGCATAAGTAAAACATTTATATACCTTGATTAAAAAGGTATAGCTTTAGTTTAAAATATTTTAATATTACATACGTATATGTCGAGTTCTGCATGATATAACCAATAGATAAGGCAAGTTTTAGAACGATAGTCAATTTGTAAATGAATTTTAAATGGAATACGGTTAGTTTTAGAATATTATGAAATTTTCAGGGTATAGGGAGATACATGTTAAATGTACAGACACCACAAACTCATTTTTAGTAAAAAGTGGATAAGCCGAGTTTTGGAATGGACCTCCTCATTTGGTTTCCAAAGAAAGTATGAAATTTCCATGTATAATTTCTTTTTTTTCTTTTCTATTGCAAATAAATTGTTTGATGTTTTAGGTTGTTGAATTTTCGTTTTTTTGCAACTTGGTGTGGATAATTTGACAATTTTCATACCTCCCATGAACATTAATAAGTTTTACTTCACAGGGAATTTTTTCATTTATTTTGTAGATGATCGGATACGAAATCGCCCTTGGAATTTTTTTTTGCATGATTTAATTGATTATATTGTTTATATGAAGGAATTTAGTTTTGGGGATAATTAGTTTATACAGGTTGAACTTATTTCCTGAAAAGGCAATGTATACAAATAATAATATAAGTAGGAATATATTTTGACAATTTTTAATATGAAGACGATTTTTGTTTTGGATTAATAGGTTTCAGTTTGAGTTGTTTAAAATTTTGAATAGGTTTCAGTTTCAATGATTTGTTTAAAATATTAAAGATTTTATTTAGTAGGAGAAAAAGGTAGTTTTGTTGAGTAAAGGTCAATAAAATAATAATAATATTTATTTGGCCAACAGATATAATAATAGGACAAAATTACAATAAAATAAGTGATATACAGTGTGGATTAAAACGAATAGATACACTTAAATAAAACAAGTGCCAAACCCCGCCCACTGTGGTAGGGATTGATATTAGTCCTGAAATGCTGTTTAACATGCTGTTTAACGTGCGCAGGAATTTTTATGATAGGCTAGGGTATTGTTTAACTGCTGCTGGTGGTCTATTTGAACATTTTATTTAGAAAAAAAGTTATTTTTGTTATTTTAGAATTATTTTTGTTTGAGAATTTATAGGTTTTATATTTATCGAATTCGTTTGTTTTGTTTTAATGCATTTCTGCAAATAAAAACTAAGTATTGTTTAAAATCCATTAAATTCCAGTTAATGGCGAAAATGTATTTCTTAAAAACTATACACATTTCCCTACGACAGCGTCGGAGCTACTGAACAAACACTAGATCAAACTGCATGCCCTTGTATCTGGCTGCATGCCGCGCTGTTGCCATATGCTATTATTGTTTCCTAAAAGGGTTGTTTTTATTATTTTTTAATATTAAAAGTAAGAAAATTAACTAAATGAAATTATTTTTGACATATTATTAATTTTTTTGTTATTTTTAAAGTTTCAAACAAATAAAATTGAACTATTTATTAAATAATTATAATCGTTCTCTTCTTAAACCACGCCCAATAAAAGTTTGTTTCTTTTTCTCTGATCAGAATATAATTTGTCATCCTTGTCTCCAGCCTTACTTACTTGATTCTAAACAGTCTGTATATGGGTGAATATATTGGGATGTCCCCCAAGTGAAAATGATTATTTTTATATTTAAAAACATATAGGTTAACCTAGAAAGAGTAACAGTCACGGAGGATAGGTTTTAGACTTTTAAAACATTGTAAAAAATAATTAATTGCGGTTAAAAACCTGGAACCTAAGCTGTTATATCTACTTAATTATAAAAGATCAAAACACAATAAAAATGTGGATCAAACTCATTTAGTTTAATTAAATATAACGGGGTAACACCATCGGGGGACATTTCATGAGATTCACCCATATATATGATGGGGGATAAGGTTTATGTAATACATAATATGTATTCCATGGAAGTGTTTCTAAGGGTCTTCTACACTTGCATTATTTTCGTAAGCATTTTTAATTTTTTTTGACAATGTACTTGAACTGATTGATAGAGTTTTCTGTCAGCTTTGTCTGTTTTGTTAAATTTATTTTCTTTTAGTTCAAGTTATATCTTAAACCATCGTCAGCATTTATATTACCAGTAATACAATTAATTGTGTTTCCCAAGCAATTGATAAGTCGTCTTTTTATGAGTTTTTCTAAATTTACATGTAGAAGTTGCTTGAATTATGTTCTAGAATAAAATGTTACAAAATAAATAGGAAATTGTGAAACTGGGAAAAAATTGTCTTCCTTTTGTTTAATATTGTCTTTATTTCATTAAAGTTTTCATCGTTTTCTTAATTATTTAAAACATTTTCTAATTCGAATTTAATTAGATTCCATTTAAAATGGTGTTTTGAGAGGTTCCTGGCTTATACGGCAAGAGTCCTGGATTGATGACCTTAAATTACTGAAATGCACTCTTCTGGATTGAGTTTTTGTTCGTTCTAAAGGATTGTTTATTTGTTTACCTGTAAAGGGGGTCGGTATATTTAGGTGAGGATTTGTGTTTTTCATAAACTTTTTGGCCAACTTCAAAAATTCTTTGGGTGTTTTTCGTTTCTTTTATTTATTATGTTGGTTTTAAAATTTCCCATTTTATCCTTTACTTTTAGTTTTTTTAGCACGATTTTGGCTATATTCTAATCTAATTGCATCAATAAAAGGGAATCTATTGAATGTTTTTAAAGTCCCTAAGAACATTCTTAGCAATAAGGGAAGCTTCTAAGAATATATCATTATTCCAGGTCATATCTTCTTAGAAGATTCTTAAAATCAAATTTTGCTATCAGGGTATGACCTAGAAGTTATTCCATTGGTGTGAATCCAGTGGCAGAATGAATTAAGTGGTTGTGTCCTATTAGTGCGTAGGGTATAATTTTCTCCAGTGGTTCCGTAAATTTGTCTCTCAATAGTGCTCGATTCCTTTAGATTGTGGATGGTTTGGTGTTATAAATGTAGGTTTAATCTTGTGTATATTACATAAATAAAATAAATGGTAAATTACTTCGTTTTAAAATTCCATTCCATTATCCGAACGGAAAATAATGAGTTTTGTCTACTTTAACTGCATTTTTTGATAAAATTGGATAAGCCTGTCCTACTTTGCTAAATGCGTCTACCAAGGTTAAACATTGTTTCCTTTCTATTATAAAGGTGTAATGCTTGAATTGGTTTTGATGGTGAAACCATTGGAATTTTGGGGGCATTTCTTTTATATTTACTTCTGTTGCAATTTTCAATAAAGGCTTTAATGCTTTTCTTCATATTTGGCCAAATTATTTCCTCCTTACTTCTATTGTTTCTGTTATGCCTCTGTGATTTGTCTTTTCTTAATAATAGTTTTTAACATGGAGAACGATTTCACCAAGTAACTGCAAATCTAGAGCATTGGTAGATATCTATGGGTATAGCGGAAAGAAGTGGATTCATTGCTGGAAGACATTTGCTGGAATTTGCAGAAAAATACGACGATGATGAGGATTAAGCACAATAATACTATAATTCAATTCGATATTTGATACGATTTAATAAATTCAATGTTGGAAAAAAAAGTTTCTAAAACTATCATAGTTTTATTGATGACAATGCATTAGGTTTAGTTTTAGTTAAGTTCACTTATATAGGAGAGTTCAATTATTGACGTTGTAGGTACCGTACGTTCAATATAAAAAAATCAGCTCTTGTATTATTCTTAAAACCCAAATAGTATATATAGGTACATATGTATATATATATTTACCTTACAATTAAATTAAACTTAATTTTATTTTCACTAGTTTTAAAAAACCGTATATTATAACAATTTGATCATGATAAAGAAATATTTTTTTCTCGATTTTCTTTAAAATATTATTTTTGGCTAAGCAGGTAATTTCAAAATAACAATAATTTTATTTTTTTACAATTTTAGGTGGAATTATGGAAATTGTTTAAACAAAAAATACTTTATTTGTCACACTAAGATAAAATTGGGTTCTAAAAGAGGTATTAAAAAGAATCGACGTCAGTATAATCTAAATAATTTTAACCATCTTAACGAAACCCCAATTGCTTTAATATTTAAAGAAAATATGACAACTAAGGATAATTATGTTGGTTATTTAAAAGCGAATTTTACCCTTAAGCCAAATCCCATCAAAAGAAATAAGCATAGTAAAAGAAGAAGGCCGGATAGTATTGAAGTCATAGAAAAGAGATTTAAAAATGGCACAGCAAGCATTAGTTTTAAGTTGCCCTATTATAAAGAAAATAAACGAAATCGAAGAAAGAATAAAGAAGAACCACATCAAAACATAAATTCATTAGATAAACATATAAAATGGAACTCGTACTATAAGGATTCTAAAAATCCATTATATCCACGTCCTATAATTGAAGAATATGCATTTTTCAAGGAATAAATTTTACTGCCATAAATGTTGTGATACTTTATTTAATTTACATAGTTTATTAAACAAATGGGAAAACTTGGATTTAAAGCAAAAACATAAAATACTTAATTTATGTTTAATCTGAGCAAGTTCCAGAATACCTTAGAATTAAAACTCCAGGTAAACTAAAAATACAATGTATGTAATATTTTAATAAAAATAATTGATTAAAATATTTTCTTCTATAAGCTTGATAAAAAACTGTTTTATTTTTATACATTTAAACTTTTAAATAGTCGAAATAATAGTTTCATTAAATAATTACCAGAGATGGGATTTTAGTGTTGTTACCTATTTGTCTACACTAATCCTAACTTTAGGTGCAAAAGAATAAAATCCGTTTTGAAGAAAATGATTTCATCTGATCCATATTTTATTTTACCTATTTTACCTAAATTTTCATTTTTAAGAATTGACCTATTTTTACATTTTACTACCTAAACTAGTGTAATTTTTACTATGTCATCTTAATTCTTATTTTTAACAGAAATTAACCACATTTTCAAATTTTACCATCAAAAACATATTTTTTTTTGTAATTAGGGGTTTTCGTATCTGGATGACATAATTTTTATGGACCATGTAGTTATTTAAAAGGAATATATTGATAAATAATTTTTTCTACTCCCACCTTTAAAACGCCCTTTATCTTACATGTTTCCATGACACTAAGTGACCTTTTAAATACACATTGACAAGTTGTGGCTTTACGGCGTTTTAGTCACGGGCTGAAGTTAGCAACAGGTTTTTAGTCACGGGCTGAAGTTAGTTGACAGTTGTCAAATGTCATACAATCGTTTAACACATTCGCGGACACTTCCAGATTTTAGAGGTTACTCAAAAACACACCAACTTTTGTCTGCAATTGCAGACGTCTGCTATAACAGACACGTCCTTGTATATCCCAAAATTTTATATTAAGGGACATGCGTCTGTAATTGCAGACGTTAATAAACTAAATGCCGGTTTCGGTAATAAGAAGAAAATCGTAAAAAACATAAACTTTATTCAAATAAATAATAAAAACTACAACAAAATAAACTTTTAATCCAAGTCTTTGTCATCTGAACCAGCAAATGGATCTTCTATACTAGTACTGCTTGATCTATCACCCTCAGGCTCTGATGACGTATTACGTATGACGTAATTTACGTATCCCTATAGGGCAATACGAAACATCATCTCTTTTTCCAATGATCTTATACGTATATTTATTCAAAAACCATTTTATATATTGAATATATATATATATAATATATAATATAATATATATAATATTATTATATATTTATAATTTATAATATTATATATTTATGATTATTAAAATTTTATAACAAAATATAAAAAACCGTATTTAGCTTAGGCAGGAATATTTCCTTAGAATAAAAATAAATAAAAATATTTGAACAAACCCTTATTAAAAATATAGTACTTACCGAGAGTTAAAATAAAAAAAACAACTTAAAATAACATTTAAAAACAACAAAATAAAATCGAAATTTACAGGGACACTTCATAACCTCTTCCATTGGCCGTTATGAAGCTACTGTCTGCTTTTGCAGACATGACGCTTTTCGTGAGAAAACAATCTGCGCGGGAACTATATATTTAACCTTAAAATTTATCACTTATAGGGACACTTTTCTGCTAAAAAACTTGATGTACAGGGACAATATGCTTCCATTTATACGTATTTAATAGTAAATAGCGACTGCTAATGCAGACATGCGTTTTTCTGTGGTTTAAAATTTGTCTGCAATTGCAGTCGTGTCCCTACACATGTGTCTGCAATAGCAGTCGTGTCCGCGAATGTGTTAAATAAAGTGCCCTTCTTATACAATAATACTAAATGTGAAAATTATTTCATTATCGCAATACAAAAGCATTAAATAGTTTTCTCAACGCCAATATTTGAAAAGTTTATATTAACATGATGCTGACGTTTTTATTTCGCCGGCAGTAAACTATAACTTAAATTCGGGCACGGACTCCACTGTAAAGTCCTCATAAAACATTTTCTTTACTTTCACTGTGAAAAACTGACAATTTACAAGAAATACATTTCGATTTATAACCTTTATAATCTGTGTTTATAATATATAAAAATGTGACATTTGACGGTGACACACAGATTCCCCTATTGTTTCATAGATGGCGCTCTATACAAATTTTTGATTTAAATCATTTTAAGATAATAATAAGTATTTGTCGTAGAAAAAGTATAGTATGCACCTCGTTTATAAACTCATACATTTAAGCATTCGCTCGCCAGCTCGCCCGTAAAATGACGTTTATCAAACTTGATATATAATATACTGTAATGGTTCAGTACTTTAATACGTTTTACAAATTTATTTTTGAATAAGTTTGGAATTTTAAATTGTGTTGTAAAATGTAAAAATCGATGCAACAGAGGTAAAAAAACGAACGGTTAGGTAGAGAAATTACAAAGTTTCGGGGAATACCGAAATTTTGCCTGAAATGGGAAAAATTTGTTTACCAGATGAGGCGAAAACAAGATCGAAACTTGATAAGGGAAGAAAATAAAGGGGCAGAAAGGTTTTGAAAATGGTATCGAACACATCGGCTCTTATACATTTTTTACCAAAACGAAATTTATTGAAAAGTTCTGTTTAAATAATGGTTACAAGTGTGTATTCTCCCAGGTTAGTTCTTAATTTTAGTAGCCCAATTCTGTAGTAAAGCCTACTACACGTAGAACGATTTTGATTTAAATAAACTGAGCATTAGTTATTTTGCACTACTACGTTTAGTGAATTTTACTCGATATTAACACCTTTTGTTTTAGCTATTTTTATAGAATGTTTTTACCTTTTAGTAGTAGTAGTACGGTTGGGTAGGCTCGAAGCCTGACAATTAGACTCCATGGTCCTTTTTATCTGCCCCTCCTAAACCAACCAGACTACTCCTCATCTTCCTCTTCGCCCATACCAGCCCTTTCGAATCTTCCAGACCTTCTTATAAAGGTCAGGATATCCTGCCAGGCAAGAGAGGCCAACTCTTCCCTTTGGAGTGTCATCACTCCAAAGATTTTATACCTTAGTCTGCCGAGGGCCTCACATTGTCCCAGGAAGTGAAAGGAGGTTTCATCCTCCCTTCCGCACTGGGTACAGGAGGGGCTGGTTTCAGCCCCTATTCTTGTGAGGTGTTTCCTTAGGCCATGACCTGTGAGTATATTCACAAGTGGGCCCAAGGAGGTTCGGCTTCTACCTAGAAGCCAGATGGATTTGGGTTTGCTTAGGGTGACCAGAAAATCCCTGGTCTGCCTACAGCCACCGCTTCTTCTCCAGCTTTCATTCGCTCTTTTATCAGCCCAATTATTTAGGGCTGATTTGACCTGCTTTCTCGTGATTCCAAAAATTGGTTCGGGTCCTACACAGGGGGTTTCAGATCCCAATCTGGCCAACTCATCAGCCCGTTCGTTACCCTCAACCCCACTATGACCTGGTACCCATACGAGATGCACTCTTTTTGTACTTGCTAGCTTTTCCAGCGCTTCCTCACACTCTTGAACCAACTTCGATGTGGTTCTCGCTGCCCAAAGCGCTTTCAGAGCTGCTTGGCTATCTGAGCAGATGTATATATCTGTCTCACTCCCTGTTCTTATATCCTCACAGTTTGCAACCTCAAGTATGGCAAACACTTCCGCTTGAAAGACAGTGGTATATCCTCCGAGCGGGTAGCTCCTTTGGATATCCCTGTCCTCCACGCAGAAACCTGCCCCTGAAGACAGTGTACTCGCCATACGAGAGCCATCAGTGTAGCACACTAGTGCATTTTGTGCAAAGTGTACATCCTTTTTCTCCCACTGCTCTCTTGTTGGTATCGTGAGGGAAAACTTCTTTTTTAAACTTAGGCGGTCTTTTGCTGGCATCGTTCTAATACTGCTAATTGGGACCTCCCTCTCAGCCATATCCGCGATGCCCTCATGACCATAAGTTATTCCTTTTCCTAACCAATTGTTGGCATCCCTCATCCTTAAATGGCTCGCCATTGCTTCTCTCTTTATCCAGAGGGAAAGATTAGGCAAGCTCAGCAAGGCCTCTAATGCCGTCGTTGGAGTAGTCCTCATTGCGCCTGTGATACCGAGACATGCCAGTCTCTGTATCTTGCTCAATTTTTGAGCGATGGTGGTTTTGCTCACACTGCGCCACCAGACCACTGATCCATAATGTATCCGCGGTCTGATGACAGCAGTATAAATCCAGTGAAGGACTTTGGGATTTACTCCCCAGCGTTTTCCCACCACCCGGCGCAGCTGCCAGAAAGTTGCAATCGATTTGTCAACAACTCTGTCAACGTGTGATTTCCAACTTAACTTCCTATCTAGGGTAACACCTAGGTACTTGACCTCTTCAGTAATCTCAAGAGGTCTTCCATACATGGCTGGTGCCCTGAAGTCCTGTATCTTCCTTCGTTTGGTAAAAAGAATCATGTCAGTTTTTGTTGGGTTAACCGACAGACCGTTTTCTTTGGACCAATTTTCTATTATTCTGCATGCTGTCTGCATTCTGTCGCAGACTACACCTAGAATGCCTCCTCTGATTAGGACTGTACCATCATCTGCATATGCTTGTGCATACAGCCCTTCGGCCGTCAGTCTCTCCAGAAGTCCATCCATTATTAAACACCATAGGTGGGGTGATAGGCAGCCGCCTTGTGGGCAGCCGCCCCTCACACCGATGTCCAAATGGCAGTCTCCCAGAGATGCACTGACCTGCCTCTCCTCCAGTGAAGATTTAACCCAACTAACCAGGACTGGGGGAGTGCCTCTGGCTTGCAGCGCTTCACAGATTGTAGATGTCCTCGCCTTATCAAAAGCCCCCTCTACATCAAAGAAAACAGCTAGTGCCATTTCCTTGTAGTGCAGTGCCTTTTCGACTCTATGCACTATAGAATGAAGAGCCGTTTCGGTCGACCTTCCATTTCTATAGGCATGTTGATTCTTATGGAATGGGTACCTTTTCAGCACCCCTTCTTGCAGGTACCGGTCCACGATCCTTTCTAATGTTTTAAAAAGAAAGGATGTTAGGCTTATTGGCCTGAAGGACTTTGCAGCCGAGTAGTCTTTTTTCCCTGCTTTGGGTATAAAGACCAC